CATTCGAGGGAGGCACTCCATCGCCACCGTGAAGAACCCAGTTTTAAACAAAGAGGAAGAACCAATTTCGTTCTCCTCTCTTTTGTAATCAAGTTGTAACCGAGATCAAAGAAATACAAATCAAATTTTCTTTATTCTCTTTCGTGGTAGAGTTTGATCAAGCCAAGTTTGAGAAGGCTATCTCCTCTGGATCCCTTAGCCCCAAGGCTATGCGCAAGATCCACAAAGTTTCCAAGGAGACTAAATCTCCAACAGTTGCTGGAACGCCAAAGAAAGTCCTCTCCTTTGGCCAAAATTCGTCGAACAGCCCCTCCGCTCCAGGAGCGGGCTCGGCCTCTGCTGAACTCGCACAGCGAGTTGAATATCCCACCTCCGCGTCAGCACGACGTGCTACAGGCCATAAACGGCCTATAGAGGAGACCAGCTCCATAAACGTCAACGACGTTGCTGCAAAAGCCTTGAAACAGGCCAAGAAGAACGCTGCTCGTCGAAGAAGAAGGTCTCAGCGACGAGCACAACTTCGAGAAAGTCGATTCTCCAACCAACGCGAACTTCGCGTTCGTGAGCCCAAACGCGACCCTGAGCCCAAACATGAGTTTCGCGAGAACCAGATTGAACGCGGCCCTCAATGGCGCGTTTCACTTCCAAAACGCGGACCTCAAGTCTACATTGAACGCGAACTTCAACTTCGCGTTTCCCAGTCAAAACTCGACCCTCGCGTCGGCAATGAAGAACGCGACCCTCATGTCGCCAAACCAAAACGCGACCCTCGCGTTTCAAGTGCCAAACGCGACCTTCGCGTTTCAAGTGCCAAACGCGACCTTCGTGTCTTAAGTGCCAGACGCGACCTTCGCGTTTCAAGTGCCAAACGCGACCTTCGCGTCTCAAGTGCCAGACACGACCCTCGCGTCCTAAGTGCCAAATCTAATATTGAGCCTGGTGTGTACCGTGGAGCTTCGGGGCGCTGCCCCGAACCCCGCCGGGGGGTATTCCATCCCCCCTGGACCCCCTGGCCAGGGGCGCGCCGCCCCCTGGACCCCGGCTCGCTACGACTAGATTGAGGGGCGGATATAAGAAGTTCATGGATTCAAGGCATCTCAACCAGATCCATGTTCACCAAGAGCCAGTCCTATCCAATCATGGACTGGGGGGTCCAATTCAAACCTCACAATCAGTGAGTAATTCTCCTCGAATCTTTACAACAGATTTGAGAGAGTTCACATTGAGAGAAAGATCGATGCAACAAGTCATTCGTTCATTTCAATGTGAACGACTGATTCCTACGGTCCTCTCGGGATATCAATGCTCGTTGCTTTATTCAACCAACGACGGCGTTCACACAAGAAGAAGACTTCTGAGGATGAATACCTTAGAGTCACTTCTAACATGATCGGCAGAGGGAGATCATCAGTTCCTAGTTCCGATGAGTCAGAGAACGATCAGTCTCCTGGCTTGAAAGACTTCCTGAATAAGTCTGATGGAGTTTATCAACATACTCGGACGCGAACAGGAGCCATTCCCCCTGTCAACTATCGGAGTTTAGCCATGGGAACCAATTCCAATGATGAACACTCAGCCATTGCAGAGTCTCAGTCATCAAGCTCTATTGTTGAACATGAGAGCTACGCTTATATGACGGGAAACCATGAAGATCTCGCGAAGAGACTTGATGAGCAGGAGGCCATGCTCAAATCTCAGCAAGAGGCCATCAATGAACTCCTGGCCCTGTTGACTCAACTCGTCGCAGACAAGGCCAAATCTCAGAAGACAGATTCACCACTCAGGCAAGAATCTTCCCGAAGGGAAAGAACGTCTTCGTCCCGACCTCACACAAGCAAAGGGAAGGGAAAAATGGTTGATGACACGGCTTCTGACCAAGAAGCCCACAACCTGGAATCTTCCTCTGATGAAGGAAGAGAGACGGAGTATGAGCAAAATCCTCAGTCGGCTAAAATCGAGGAATTGGAAGCCCGCCTCAATGTCATTGCTAACAGAAGCGAGCTCCAAGATGAGGGAGTTGTCAGGCCCTACCCTACCGAATGGGACGCAGCCCCTTATCCTCCAAAATTCGAAGTCCCGACGCTACAAACTTTTGACGGCACGGGATCACCGAACCAACATATCTATCATTTCAAGTCACAGACTGGGAATGTAATATCAAACGATGCCAATACGGGCTCGATTGTTCATTGGCACCCTTAAGGGAGTTGCCTTTGAATGGTTCAGAAAACTACCTGCCGGATGTATCCAAAGGTGGGCAGATTTAGAGAGACTCTTCCTGTCAAGATTTTTTGAAGAGGATACAGAAGTCTCCATCCATACCCTTCTCGTCACTAAGCAGAAGAAGAGGGAGTCCGTCAAAGCCTTCGTTAAAAGGTTCCGAACCATGGCTCTCCGGTGTTCGTCAGGTATGACACAGTCTACCTTAGTAGAGACCTGTCGACACAACCTGCAGACCAACATCCTAGCTCGAATAGAGGTTGCAGAATGCCGTTACTGGAGACAACTGATCTCTCAAGGCGAACAGGCTCAGAAGATTATTGCCAGGATCAAAGCTGAAGAACAAAGTGGGCAAGATCAGCCCGAGCAATCGGACCAAGCCCAATCTTCTCCTGAGCAATCGGACCAAGCTCATTCTTCCCAGTCAGAACCAGAAGATACTACGACCACTGAAGCTAATCCTCTTCAGTAGGATGCCGGGTCTCCAATAACTATCACGTTAACAACTACCTCTGATAGTCAAGCTCGTTAGATTGTGGCCCACTAGGCGACGTGCCATGTCTACCCTTTTTCCCCATGACTGGGGGTTGATTGATTTGTAGTTCATTGGATTCTGAGTAATAAATTTTCTGAGTTGTTATGTTTAATAGAATACCTCTGTCAACCACAAAATCTACCAAAACTATCACGTCCATCAACTTGTCAATCAGCTTCAATAGGATGGCAGGTCCACAAAACTATTACGTTAACATTTACCTCTGATAGTCCCTCAACTTGTCAATCCTCTTCTCAATAGGATGACAGGTCCATAAATCTATCACGTTAACAGTTACCTCTGATAGTCTATCAATCTGCCAATCCTC